AACGCAAAAGTAACGTAACGCATTACGTTCCATAAAAAGTAACTACGTAACTCGTTACTTTTTTATGGAGTAACGCAATAATCTAATGCATTACTTTTAATAGTAACTTTCCCCAACACTGGTCGTGACCTTAGTTAAAGTTTCGCCTACTCTCCACACCACTAGATGGCGCTGATGCACCTGTACAGTGAAGAAAAAGCACAGTCACAGCAGACACGTGGATGTGGGTAAAAGCTGTTGATAGTTGAAACTACGCTTAGTTTCTGTTTATGGAATAGATGCGACGTTTTTATATGTAGTTGTATTTGTTTTGTCAGACACGTTTAGTTTAGAATCGAGTGTCATCTAAGCGTGATATAGCCACATACTGTTCGTTTAACGTTCTTTTAGACGTCCACATTGCGGCTTCATTGAGTTGAGTCCGCATCAGAAAGTCTACAGGGGACATGGCCAAAAATAAACAGAAAGGCAAAAAGCAACAGAATGTATTTCAGGTTGCGAACAAACAGTCCAAACCCAAGACCAGAGCGAAACCCGTCAAGACCTCTTTGAAACATGTGAGTTCAAGTTTTGTTAACAGCAGTAATGCGCCATTCGGACTGCACACAGTTTTAGAGATGTTGAATATAAATAAGCTGATATTCTGCCCACAGATAAACACGTTGAGAAATGAAAAAGTGGAGAGCTTAAATCAGATGTTCACAGAAGTACAGCGAGATGTCAAAAGTATATCAAAAGCAACATCCAGTGGACCCAAAAAAGGACAGAAGGTCAGTTTTTCCTGTTTTATTTGACTTATTTTAATGTCCAAATACATTCTGCAACTTGACTTTTTATAAAATGGTTTGCATGGTGTTTTTGTGCTTTGTCTCTAAATGCCACTGTCATGTTTTGTTATCAAATGCTATGACATTTCATGTGTCCAAATACTGTTTTGCGCTGTAAATGTTTAATGTTGACCGTCACATCACATGTAAACTGTATATTTCAGGTGGTCAGAGAAGCTCCACGGGAAGCTGTCAATGTGGATAATGCTGCCCAGCTTTTCTCTCAACTGTAGAAGACCATTTTAACATGCTGAAAATGGAAAAACAAACAAAAACAGTTCATAATAACTGCCGATCATCGATATTATTTATTATCACATGAATATCCCTGTGTAGTTTTAATTTTTTGCAGAACTGCACGATTTCTATTGCCCTCGTAGGACTGCTTTTGTAAATGTACTCTGCATGCAAATCACAACCAAGCTTAATGCCTAAAAAATACATTAGTAAGTTGTCCTAGAGCACTGATTTTTTTATATTGTCTATGCTTGCTGAAGCATAAAGAACAAAGTCATTAAAGACAGAATTCTATCAGAGCTGTTTTGTAATGAGTTGTGCTTCTGTTGTATTGAGTCAGCTGTAACAGGCTTTATATATTCTTCGGATCAATGTTTGAACTTTTGACCCAGTGGAAAGCGATGTCCACTCGAGTCGCTGGAATTGAGATCGTTAGCTGGTGTTTTATTTCTTTTAGAGGTGGGGCTGAAGGAGAATTTACTTTTAATTTATTTTTTATGATTTTCTTTTTCTTTTTTTTGCAGTTCTCGGCACTAAAACAGCACTTGAAAGAATCTCTTCAAAGCTTCGTTGTGAATCTGCTTACAGGTTTTTGGAAACACAAGTTGGTAGTTCAGGCACAAA